CCCCCCCCCCCCACCCTAATTTTCTTTTATATATTTTATTTATTTTTTTGAAAATGACTTAAAATCAAATCAAAAGTATCAAATTACAGTAGGGGAAATAAGATCTAAATGGAACAAAATATTGATCCCAAAAATAAAAAAATGGTGTTCATGTGGTCTATAATTAATGAGGGAACACACAAAGAAGATAGCTTATCAAATGTTCCAAAGGGCAATAAGTCCATGTTAGGTTTATAAATATCAATGTCATATTCTTCAAAATCAATTTGATACGTTACCCAACTGATCTTTTCTCGTTTGTTTTGACTTTTCATTCGATATCTAAAAAGATTATTTACTGTCTCGTTATAATCTTTAATGATACATAGTATTTTTTGAAGTGTGAAAATAACAACATAGTTATCGTTACGAGATAACTTATCAAAGTTACTCCCCCCACAACTCATTGATATACACATTATATACTTTTATGTATAGTGCTCATATCAATGATCAATTGACTAATTTATCTTAATTTGTGAATAAAAAATCGATAGCTCCATTTACCCTACCACATGGGGTTACAAGTTTAGGTGAGCTGTATACTAATAGCAACATGTGTTTGGTCCCCTTTTTTCTGATTTTTCGTTATCGTATTATTTGATATTGTTATCACTCTTTTCCTCGCAACTTCTTTACTGTCGTATTCTCTTCTAGCTAATTCATATTTTGAAATGTTTTTCTTGAGTTGAAGGTCAATGAAAACATCTTTTAAGCTTTCACAAGATAGTTTATGACTTTATGTACACACATTCTCTCTAAATTTTATTTATAAATTACACTGAATATATTATCATTATTTAATTTATACCATCACGATATTTGATTTTGAGGGCTTTAGGCAGCTTAGCCGACTTATTTTCATAAAATAATCATCACTACATAATTAATTAATTCCACATTTTACACATTCATTTTCTTGAGCAAATAGAAAGGTCGTCCCCAATTTTACTTTGAGTTTGTGTACTTGTTTGAGACGAGACGTATAGCTATGATACTATTTTAATATTTCTTTTATTTTTAATATGAAATTTTATTTATCGTCTCCGTTCTCAACTCGCACACCTAAACATTGTTTGTTAGTGGATGCGTGAATAATCCAGAACATGTTAGGTCCACATAATGGAAAATAAGAGGATTTTTGGGACCATAATTTCTTTTCACGTATATTATTTTTGGATTATTTATGCCAATATTAATTATTGTATTATCAATTTATTAAAGTACCGTACAATTATTTTTTCCAAGCCTCCACGTCTCAATTTTCTAACTCCTTTTTTTGACTCCATAAAACGTACGTTCATTATTCGTTTGTTGACATCTTTTTCACAAAAGAAAATGTAGCAAATAAAATAATATTCCATTCCGTTCCTTTTTAATTGTTATAGTTTTCTTTTTGAGAGTCAAATAATATGAAATTTGACTAATAAGATGTATTTTTTCATCGTATTGATATTAAAAAAATGGGCAAATTACAGAAATTACATACTTTTAAGGAAAAATTACAATCTATCCCTTAAAAGTTTATAATTACAGAAATCCCTCAAACGGATACAATAATATAAGCGTTGATACATTAATTTGATGCGCGAGATACAATAATATAAGCGCGGATACTTGCGCGAGATACAATAATATAAGCGATGATACATTAATCTGATGTGCGAAATACAATAAT